AAATTTCTTAGAAACTAATTATAATGGAGAAGTCGCAACATCAATTGTATGGTGCACTTTAAAAAGCTATATAAGAGGATTACTAATAAAGTTTGGTTCCGAAAATAAACGGAAGAAAGGTGAATCACTACATGTCCTGAGGATTAAATTAGCGAAATTGGAACGGCTAAATAAAATATCAATAAACAGGGAACTAATAAATGAAATTAATAATATAAAGCTAGTTATTAGGGATAAAATATATGTGGAGATAGGCAAAAATCTATCCTTTCTTAAACAAAGATGGTATCATAATAATAATAAAAGTAATAGGGATCTCTCTAACAAAATTAAGAATCAACATAGAGATAAATCTATAAAAAAATTGACGACTAAAGGAGGAAAGGTTGTAAATCTACCTAAAGATATAGCAGAGGCTTTTGCAACATTCTATAGCTCACTATATAATTTAGAGGAGGTTAAGGTAAGCAATGAAGAAATCGATAGATTTCTTAAGAACCTTGGACTTCCTAGGTTAAGTCTAGAGAAACTAGAATATATAAATGCTCCTTTTAGAGAATTGGAAATTGAAGAAGCGATCGAGAAAATTAAAACCAAATAAGGCCCCTGGCCCAGACGGATTCTCTGCTATTTTTTATAAAACATATATGAAAACAATAACTCCAATTCTTTTAGATATGTTCTCGTCAATATCTAGTGATGCTCCATTCCCAAAAGAGATGATGTTAGCAACAATTATTCCGATTCCAAAGCCAGATAAGGATAATTTAGTAATCGCTAACTATAGACCAATATCACTTATAAATGTTGATATTAAAATATTCTCGGCTATTTTGGCCAATCGTTTAAAAGAAGTAATGGGAGATTTGATTAATTGGGATCAATCAGGATTTGTGAAAGGAAGAAGTACCTCCGATAATACTAGGAGGATTTTTAACATTATAAATAGAGTGAGCGGTCAACGGGGGGAAGCTGTTATCATCGCCCTGGATGCCGAGAAGGCCTTTGACAGAGTCAATTGGAGATTCTTGGACTCTGTCATGGGCCATTTCGGATTGGAGGGAGCATTTAGAAATAAAACCTTGTCTCTATATAGGAATTCCTCGGCAAGAATTAGCAGCCCATATTTTGATTCTGATCCTTTTGATATTAGGAATGGTACTAGGCAGGGCTGCCCGCTAGCTCCACTCCTATATATCCTTACAATCGAACCACTGGCTATGATGATAAGACAGAATGATAAGATAAAAGGAATAGATTTTCAAGAGGAACATATTAAGATATCTCTGTTTGCAGATGATGTCTTGCTTACCCTTGTTGACCCATTACTATCAATTCCATCGTTGCTAGAAGATATCTCTACATACAGCAAATTCTCTAACTATAAGGTTAAGATTAATAAATCTCAAGTCCTTCCATATTTATTGACCAAGGTACAGTTGGAAACTTTGCATTCCTATTTCCATATAGAATGTGTAAAAGATAAAATTGAATATCTAGGTATAAAGATAACATTTAATATCTCAAAGACAATTCGGATAAATTTTGATGATCTATATAGGGATCTACAATCCCAGATACATAAAATGAAGAGATTAGAACCATTTTGGATAGGAAGAGTTAACATTACCAAATCGTACTTAATGCCAAAACTTATATACTTTTTTAGGATGATTCCATACAATATCGAACGGGGCATCCTGAAGCGTTTTCAAAATTTATTTTCTAGCTATATATGGCGTGATAAACCACCCAGAATAGCGACGGAAATTCTATGTAGAAGCTACCGGAAAGGGGGAATAGCATTTCCTGATGTGATTAAGATGTATGAGGCAAATAGGGCCTCCCAACTTATGCCAAAAAGAAATGCACCTTATACACACACTTATATACAAGGATACTTATCAGTGGTTAGTGAATGCAGCCTCCCTCAGATCGCTCCCAGCTAGCAATCAACTTGAACACAAGAATATACAAAACACAACGAGGGAACCGGCTGATTGTCTAAATGAAGATAAATAAAAAGAGGTATAGTGTAATACAGTTTTAAAATATTAACACTGTGCAATATGAAATGCACTCTCAGGATATTGGACAGTTCAGGCATATATGGTGCCACCCCTGATGATATGGGGGGCTAGAGAAATCCCCTGGACACTTCCACTCAAAATGCAGGACTCCAGGTGAAGATATGAAAAAAGCGGCTTTAATTGTTTAAAAATAAAAACTGTATTACACTATACCTCTTTTTATTTATCTTCATTTAGACAATCAGCCGGTTCCCTCGTTGTGTTTTGTATATTCCTCCCAACTTATGACATGGTTAAATTTGGACCAAGATATATCTAAATCTTGGATTAAAATTGAACAGAAATCAGTACCAGGGCAAAAGTTAAAAATCTTAGGTTGGCTAGGACTTCTGAACCTGGGGGCTCTGGATATGGAAAAGTTTCCTAATAAAATTATAGGAGATATGGTGGATTTTGCAAAATATTTGAATATTAAGCTGAAACTTAAAGGAAAAATATTGCTTAATACACCTATAGATATACTTCAATATGCTAAGTCAGATATAAATATTAAAACTTGGATTCATCTTGGCATTAAAAAAATTGGAAATCTATATGAAGGATCTAAACTGGTGACATATACACAATTACAACTAAAATACAAGTTTTTACCTAGGGAAATATTCCAATACCTAAGGATCAAGAATTTCCTCTTAACTAAAATATTGATTAAAGATCACTATCTTGAACCCTATATTATATGCAGTCAAAAAAAAGGAGGAATCTCTAGATTTAATAAATTGTTTGATACATTAGATAATGTTGTTGATGTGCCTCCATTTGGTAAGTGGGAGAGGGATATGGGGAAACCCCTCCCACTTAAAGAATGGACAAATGCTACAATGTTAGTAAAACAAAGTATACACAATATATCCTTACTTGAAACGCACTTAAAGATTATCTATAGGTGGTATATGGTCCCGGTTAGACTTCATAAAATATCTCCATCTTATTCAAAAGAATGTTGGAGATGTAGAAGAGAAGAGGGCACTATGCTACATATATGGTGGGCCTGTACGGGCCTGAATAACATCAAAACTCAAATGCTAGACTTAATGAAAATTATCTTTAAGGAGGTAGCAATTAGCCCTGAAATGTTTCTGTTCAATATGGACTATAAAACAAATGATAAACAACAAAAATACATTATGACACATATATTTTTGGCAATAAAAATTAATATCGCCAGAGCATGGAAATCTCCTAACCCACCACTTTGGCAAGAAATAATGGAGCAAATAAGGTTTCAATATAAGATGGAATCTCTAACTAAGGATCTGAAAGAGTTCTGGATTCCCTGGACCTCCAAATTCCCTATATAATAACGAGTTGTCTGACACCCACCCCTCATCGAGTCTCATATAAATGTGTTTTTTTTTTTGTTTTTTTTTGCGTGTATGTTTTGTTGTTGTGAACATTAAATAATGTTAATGCTATAATGTTTCAGAAGATTAAATAACTATATATCACTGTAGTAAAACTAAGGAAGTAATATTGATATTTATAAAATCAGTATAATAACTGTCTATTTGACTATGTATAAAAGGAAAGGAAAACATTGATAAATAAAATAAATATTAAAAAAAAAAGAATACAGGGGTTATATTGTTATAGAATACGGGGGTTATATTGTTATAGAATACGGGGTTATATTGTTATAGAATATCTGGTTATATTGTTATAGAATACGGGGGTTATATTGCTATAGAATACGGGGGTTATATTGTTATAGAATACGGGGGTTATATTGCTATAGAATACGTGGTTATATTGTTATAGAATACGGGGGTTATATTGTTATAGAATACGGGGTTATATTGTTACAGAATACGTGGTTATATTGTTATAGAATACGGGGGTTATATTGTTATAGAATACGGGGTTATATTGCTATAGAATACGGGGGTTATATTGTTATAGAATACGGGGGTTATATTGTTACAGAATACGTGGGTTATATTGTTACAGAATACGGGGTTATATTGTTACAGAATACGGGGGTTATATTGTTATAGAATACGTGGGTTATATTGTTATAGAATACGGGGTTATATTGTTATAGAATACGGGGGTTATATTGTTATAGAATACGTGGTTATATTGTTATAGAATACGGGGGTTATATTGTTATAGAATACTGGGTTATATTGTTATAGAATACGGGGGTTATATTGTTATAGAATACGGGGTTATATTGTTATAGAATACGGGGGTTATATTGTTATAGAATACGGGGTTATATTGTTATAGAATACTTATATTGTTATAGAATACGGGGTTATATTGTTATAGAATACGGGGGTTATATTGTTATAGAATACGGGGTTATATTGTTATAGAATACGGGGTTATATTGTTATAGAATACGGGGGTTATATTGTTATAGAATACGGGGGTTATATTGTTATAGAATACGGGGGTTATATTGTTATAGAATACGGGGTTATATTGTTACAGAATACGGGGTCATATTGTTATAGAATACGGGGTCATATTGTTATAGAATACGGGGTTATATTGTTACAGAATACGGGGTTATATTGTTATAGAATACGGGGGTTATATTGTTATAGAATACGTAGGTTATATTGTTATAGAATACTTAAGTTATTGTTATAGAATACGGGGGTTATATTGTTATAGAATACGTGGTTATATTGTTATAGAATACGGGGGTTATATTGTTATAGAATACGTGGTTATATTGTTATAGAATACGGGGGTTATATTGTTATAGAATACTTAAGTTATTGTTATAGAATACGTAGGTTATATTGTTATAGAATACTTAAGTTATTGTTATAGAATACGGGGGTTATATTGTTACAGAATACGGGGTTATATTGTTATAGAATACGGGGTTATATTGTTATAGAATACGGGGGTTATATTGTTATAGAATACGGGGGTTATATTGTTATAGAATACAGGGGTTATACCTATTGAGGACGATGTGATTTTCAGATAATGTTATGAAGTAATGTCCCTAATTACCTCATCTTCCTCTACGTCACTCATAGCTATCTCTCCACACATTGACGTCACTAACCGTTACTATTTAACTTCCCCGCCCTCCTGCTGTCAATCACTGTCAGAGCCCCGCCTCCCCCTACTCGCGGCTATGGTAGTGGCCCCGCCCTGCCGATGTCAATCACTGTCAGAGCCCCGCCTCCCCCTACTCGCGGCTATGGTAGTGGCCCCGCCCTGCCGATGTCAATCACTGTCAGAGCCCCGCCTCCCTCTACTCGCGGCTATGGTAGTGGCCCCGCCCTGCCGATGTCAATCACTGTCAGAGCCCCGCCTCCCCCTACTCTCGGCTATGGTAGTGGCCCCGCCCTGCTGCTGTCAATCACTGTCAGAGCCCCGCCTCCCCCTCCTCGCGGCTATGGTAGTGGCCCCGCCCTGCTGCTGTCAATCACTGTCAGAGCCCCGCCTCCCCCTACTCGCGGCTATGGTAGTGGCCCCGCCCTGCCGATGTCAATCACTGTCAGAGCCCCGCCTCCCCCTACTCTCGGCTATGGTAGTGGCCCCGCCC